GCCTTATGCTCTTAGAGCATGGGCGTACAGATTGGAGTTCAGCACTGTAGATGTGTTCCTATGCATTTAAAATAATTGCTGAAATATCTACTATTTCTTCAAGAAGAGTCAGTTACTGACTTTCCTAAATTGAAACATTACTGAGGAGACTTTCAAAGGCTTCATTTGTCAAAATAGGAAAAAAAAGCAAAACAGAGTTTCCACTGCAAATATTAGTGCTGAAAAATTCTCATTAAATGTTACTGGACAATTTTTCACTGCACATGAACACTTTTGTTTATATTTTCTATTTTATTCTCACCCCTAAATATACCACTATCCTTGGCCAAAATGAGGTTGCAATAATATGAAGGTTGCTGAAATGCTTGGTCTTAACTATGATGGATCCAAGGCACACACTTAACCCTTGCATGTTAAAAATATGATAGTTCCAATCAGTGTTTGCCCTTAATCCTGAAAAGCTGCAGGCCCTAAGGACCCAGAACCATCAAAAGTTCTGATCAAAATGTGTAGGCCCTATATTTAAGCAATGGTTTTGTAAGACTGACTGACTGACTAGTTTATTTAAGCAATATTCCAGCAATATCACGGCGGGTAACCAGAAATGGGCTTAACACATTGTGCCCATGTGGGGAATCGAACCCTTCGAGGCGCTTTAACCACTAGGCTACCCCACCGCCCCTCGTGCCTAAGAACTGATGTTAATTTCGAAGGCTGGTTCCAATGGTTCCATGCTGTACCTGAGCCAATAGACAACCAGACACCACAGAGTAATCTCTGTCTGTAACAAACATGCTTATGATTACGTCCTATTCTGTCGAATTTTGAACAGCCAGCAGTGCCGATCCGTCGAATCATGCTTGAGTGGTTCTGTGCTAATCGGTCGAATTTCAGACTGTGTTAACACACTGGGAGAGTCTAAGTTCATTAATTAAGGGTCGGCTAAATATTGGATTAGACTAAACGTTTTTATAATGAACAAGAACAGATTCCGGAGAAGATGTAGTGCTCTTAATTTCTGTATACAAAATAATTCATAGCTAAGATCACAGTGCCGATCCGTCGAATGCTTTTTACTATTCTGAAATCAGAAATTCGACGGATCAGTACGCGACCATGCTTATGAGCAACTGACTGATACAGCAAACATTTTGAGTGGTCCTTCCCATTTGCTGTGTATGTAAATCAAATTGCGTATAACAACAACGGTTATATTGAACTGGAATAAGTGATCCTATTGAGTTGGTTATTATCATAGTTTGCTGTATATCTGTTGGCATCGAGGTTATAAAAATGTCCACACTGTCATCTAGAATCTCTAACAGTCATCCATGGTGTCAACTTAAGCGGATGATGGTCTTTTTCTTGCCACTGAGTGAGTGAGTTTGGTTTTACACCGCTTTTAGCAATATTCCAGCAATATCACGGCGGGGGACACCAGAAATTGGCTTCACACATTGTACCCATGTGGGGAATCGACCCGGGTCTTCGGCGTGACGAGCGAATGCTTTAACCACTAGGCTACCCCACTGCCCCCTCTTGCCACTGTCAGAAGGGGGCAGAGGAGTCCAAGGTGGGAAGAGACAGCCTCACAGATCCAAGATCTGGAAGGCCTTTATTTAACTCAAAATATTTTAACGAAAAATACAAATACAAGACTTGATTATGGATGATCAGTGGCTCACCAAACATCACAAACCCAATACGGGGCGGTGGGGTAGCCTAGTGGTTAAAGCGTTCGCTCGTCACAACCGAAGACCCGGGTTCAAATCCCTACATGGGCACATTGTGTGAAGCTCATTTCTGGTGTTCCCTGTGTTATTGCTGGAATATTGCTAAAAGCGGCGTAAAACCAAACTCACTCACTCACTCACTCACTCACAAATCCAATACAGTAGGTATCTCCCTGAGTTAAGAACATTCAGTGGAATGGACCAACATTAACAAATGGGGTTCACAGTTTTTCAAATCTGATCAGAGGAATCTCCAGGCTCATCATTACTCATGAGAATATTGCAGCATTTGGACTCTGACCCAGATGATTTTCTTCAGCAGCCAATAACCATAGATAAATATTTGCTTCACTAATATCTGAGAGTCATCTAATGTCTCCACCTCTTATGAAGGCAAATCTGTTCAGCCAGTATTTGTTTCCTGGGATTTCAAAGGAATCCTACCATTGGACCATCTTCCAAAAGATTAGACCATTAATGGCCAATGGTATGTAAATCTGATCAGATGATAAATGTCCAGTGTAAACATGATGGGAACACTAATGGTGTCTTGTTCCATCAGCCAGTTGTCACAATTGCTGCATTGCATGACAGTGGCTTTGAAAATCCTCCATAGTCACCAACCTTCCAAGATTTTCACACCGTCCAAAAATTGAGGACAGAACTTTCTGGCAACCATTGCAAAAAAAATTCATGTGGAGGTCTTTTTACTTAATGGAAGAAGATGCCATAAACTAGCAGGCTCCAGGATTTGTCTCAGCATCATTGGCAGGATGCGATTTAAAGTTGGAAAGGATTATGTTAACAAATTATTAATGGCCAACTACTAGTATATCAACAAAGTCCATCATACATAGACTCAGTAGTTTTCAACCATCCCTGGTTCATTTGGGAATATGTTTTAAAAGGTTGGTAAAAAAAACAAAGACAAAAAATGGTTTATATACTTGGTCTCGCTGCAAACAAGATGGCCAGTCAATTTCCTGGTATGGACCAGTATAGCTCCTCTGTTATTTTCTAAAAATGTATTCTCATTCCTTCTTTGTCATAGGCCTAATGAAGACTAATAGGCACAGGGTTGATTAATACTTAGTCTGACAGAATTGAGACTAAAAAAACTCAGTCTGAAGCTGATATCTAAATCAATAAGGACTGAAACAATGTTGCCATTATGTTACAAAAAAGAAAGAAAGAAAGGTCCCAGTACACATTGTTTTTTTCTATTGCAAAATTCTTATTTCAGGCAGTCTTACAGAAACCAAGCTTGCATAGTTTTAAACAGTAAAATGCCAACAAACAGGACTCGACCTTCAGTAGGACCTTGACCTGTCACACAAGGAAGGAGGAGTGAGTGAGTGAATTGGGTTTAACACTGCTTTTGAATTGGGTTTAACACTGCTTTTAGCAATATTCCAGCAATATCATGGCAGGGGACATCAGAAATGAGCTTCACACATTGTACCCATGCAGAGAATCGAACCCGGGTTTTTGACATGATGAGCAAACGCTTTAACCACTAGGCTACCCCACCACCCAACACAAGTAGGGAACATGTATGAAGATCCCAAGAGAATTAGGTAATAAGTTCTTAAATGATGATATCCTTGAGTTGACTCAGACCGTGGGTGTCTCAAAAGACCAGACCAAGATCAACAGGCAAATTCCAGCAAAACCTTCAGCAAAGTGTTGCTTGTCATTTCTTTGTGAACACCTGGTGTCATCAAGGATTTTCAGTGATACATTCATAGAAATTTCAGAGCTATTTTGCCTTCTCGCTTGTGCTTTGGTGAGACTGGTTATTTTTCAGTGTTTAGATTTATATTCATTCATTATGTTTCACACATCCAATCTTTCTATGGTTTAAAAAGTTGTTTGGGGATTAGTACCTATTAGACTCTTGGCATCCACTCAGTCAAATAAACCAATTGAATGAGATGCCAGCTTGGTACCCCTCACAATTGGACTGAACTGAGGATTTGGTGGTCACAGTGAGTGTCTCCATACCAAAGCACTGGTTGTTGCTCTTGCTTTCAACCACTGTTATTTCCTTACCAGATTCAATAAAGAACCTGAGTTTCATAGTAACAAAACAGAAACATTTAACAACTCAATTCAACAGAGCTCACTGTCTTGTGTCAGAGTTGTTAAAGGAGTATTAATGATTCCCCTAACAGTGCAATTCTGTTATTTCAGAAAGATTAATTATGCTGTTCATGAGACTAGGTTATTACAGGATTAATGATTCCGTACAAAAGCGACAAATTTCCATGTGTTACTGTGACAGAGATGGTGTTAAAGTGTACATGAGGCTTCCCCCAGAATGCACAAAGGCCCCTCGGTACAACACACTAGCCAATCATACAAGGGTCCTGTTGCTCTGGTATGCCAGACTTATTTATTAGAGATAAGCCTCCATATGCTTCTGAGATCCAATAATAAGCCCGGCTACCATGATCAATGTCTTTCACAAGCCATTTACAGGACACCAATTTTCTGGATAACATCAGTTATTTTGGACATGTTCTTTACATGGAAAAAAGTCAATGATAGCATAGTAAACTGGCTGGTCATCCAAATGAATGAGCTGTGGGAATTCTGAGATAAAATAGGTCCTAGTCTGTCTCACAGTCCCTGAACCACATTATTTTCCCTACTGCCTAGCCCTCCATGCAATGCTAAGGCCCTAAATGATGCAAGTCAAGATTTCCCCAGCAGGGGTTCAATTTTTTAAAGTCACTTGCCACAGGGCAAGTGACTATAAGAAAGTAACTTGTCCTGACTAATTTTCCACTTGCCCTGATTTCATGACATAATTATGATGATGTAATTATGAAAGAAGAAATCAACATGGTATTTGATGTTAATGTTTACTGGACTATTTATTGAAAAGTGATAAATAGCAAAGAAAGATAACTCTACTTTATTATCATTGCGAAATGTAAAAGCTACATTTTGAGCAGATATGAAATTAAATCCAAGTTTATTTGCGGTTTGAAACCATAAGTGGAAATTATCTAGTAGCCCACGGACAAGTAAGATACCATTATTTGATTGCCCGAAATGAAAACTGACTTGTCCCGGGCGTCGGGCAATGGGATTTTTGAACCCATGCCCAGGTTCCTGAATCTCCCAACTCACTGGGGCTCCTTTTCAATTTAAATGGGTTTATTTGTTACTATCAAAATTATATATATTCAGGGACTAAGTGTTAGTCTAAATAGGTCCCAGCAATCCATTCTGGTCGTAAGAAGCGACTTAATGGACTGGGTGGTCAGGCTCGCAGACTTACTTGATTGTGATGTGGGACAGTCTTATAAGTTGTGCAACAGTGTTTCAACTAAGGCTATTACGATTCACTCACATATTTGGTGAATTGAACCGTAGCCCTTCATGAATTCAATTCGTTATGCGTGGTCACCAGAACTGAATATTAACGAATATTTACAATTTTTATAAGGGAGTGTGTTTTACTTAAACCCTTATGTGCTTTTTCAAAGTGAGATATGCAATTATGGAATATGTACTTGCATTGCAGTAGCACAAGTCATGTTAGTTTGCCAAGGCCACACATGGTACTGTCAGCTATAAACTATTACATACCAAATCTGAGTGTCATGAGATCACTGGTTATTGCTGTGACAAATCAAAACTGTCAACATGGGCATTCCATATTGTACATCAATCAGTTAACTACAATATTGTATTCGTGAATAATTGTTCGTTTTCGTTACCCAATAGTTGTGATACATATCATATTCACCACATAGTGTATTCGTTGCAGCCCTAGTTTCAACTGTTATACATTGTACCTGTAGAGTTAGTGAGGGGTAGTGGGGGTTTATACTTGTACTATATACTACTCACACTTTGCTAAGGATCACAAAAATTCACAACTTTACTTAAAACGTAGATTTATAATTTGAAATTGTATCCATTTAAAACTGGATAAATAATAATATGGTAACCCCCCTTTAGGCAAACAGTCACTTTAATCTAACTTATGCACTTGATACATGAGTAACCATAAAAATTGTTTTGATGGCACCAATCAACCATTTTGCAAATCATGGAACGAGTCATTGACAAGTACACAACACCTGTCAATAGCAGGTATGGGATCCACAAGATGCAGTGACATACTGAAACCTAGGATCCATGCTTACAATAAGCTTAGACATTTAATCCAAATTTGACCCCACATCATAGTTTTCTGTTGAATTCATGATTTGATCCTTAGCAAAGTGTGAATAGTATATATTTAGACAGAGCTCTGGAATGTACTAGAACCTTCCCCTGATGCAGATGTAGCGGCCATAACGTACTGATTCTCGGTTAGGTATTTAGTTTCAACTAGGGGATCCACACATAACACATCGTCATCATACTCTGATCATGTTGACCACTGATCTGACTGCCTGACTGAGTTTTGGTTTTACGACGCTTTTAGCAATATTCCAGCAACATCACGGCGGGGGACACCAGAAATGGGCTTCACACATTGTACCCATGTGGGGATTCGAACCCGGGTCCTCGGCGTGACGAGCCAACGCTTTAACCACTAGGCTACCCCACCGCCCCTGACCACTGATCACTAGGGCTGCAACGAATACACTATGTGGCGAATATAATACTTATCAAGAATATTGGGTAACGAATACGAATAAGTATTCACGAATACAATATTGTAGTTAAGTGATTGATGCACAATATGGAACGCCCATGTTGACAGTTTTGATTTGTCACAGCAATAACCAGTGATCTCATGACACTCAAATTTGGTATGTAATAGTTATAGTCAACAGTACCATGTGTGGCCTTGGCAAACTAACATGACTTGCACTACTGCAATGCTAGTACATATTCAATTCTTGCATATCTCACTTTGGACTGACTGAGTTTGGTTTTACGCCGCTTTTAGCAATATTCCAGCAACATCACGGCGGGGGACACCAGAAATGGGCTTCACACATTGTACCCATGTGGGGATTCGAACCCTGGTCTTTAGTGTGACGAGCCAACGCTCTAACCACTAGGCTACCCCACCGCCCCATATCTCACTTTGGAAAGGACGTAAGGGTTCAAGTAAAACATGCTCCCTTAAAAAAATCGTAAATATTCATTCATATTCGGTTCTGGTGACCACGAATAACGAATTGAATTCATGAAGGGCTACGGTTCGATTCACCGAATATGCGAGTGAATCGTTACAGCCTTACTGATCACAATACCAATCACTGGATTGTCTTGTCCATACTCAGTTACTATGTATTTACACGTAGCTATTGTAAAGCTGGAATATTGGAATATTGGATTACTGCTAGGTGTGCCAGTCGAAAACAATATACAAAGACTGACTGACTGAGTTTGGTTTTACGCCGCTTTTAGCAATATTCCAGCAACATCACGGCGAGGGACACCAGAAATGGGCTTCACACATTGTACCCATGTGGGGATTCGAACCCGGGTCTTCGGCGTGACGAGCCAACGCTTTAACCATTAGGCTACCCCACCGCCCAATATACAAAGAAAGAGTAAGGACCTCAGATTTATAAATCCATTTATTTTCATTTTGGTAAACACTGCTCATCTTCATTTGCTTTGAGTGAGTGAGTGAGTTTAGTTTAACGCTGCACTCAGCAAATAATCGAATCTGGACCAGATAATCCAGTGATCAACAATATGAGCATCGATCTGCGAAATTGGGATACGATGACATGTGTCAACCAAGCCAGCAAGCCTGACCACCCGATCCCGTTAGTCGCCTCTTACGACAAGCATGGGTTACTGAAGATCAATATTCTAACCCGGACCTTCACGGGTCCATTTGCTTTGATAATAGAGGCAATGGCATATGTAACTGCAGTAAAACCAATACATTTTTGTAACTTTACATGTTTCTTGAAACTGTTACGGCACATATATATATTTTCATTCTAAAAAATGATATGACAGTCACAAGGTATTACAAGAAGATACTTCCTTTTAACCTTTTTCATATATTTACTGACCTACCCAAATAATGAAAGCAATACGGACCAATAGCATCATATTGATATTACCACCTGGAGTTAAAACATTTGTAACAAGGAAATATCCAATATTTCAGAAAAATTACATGGTATCTGTTTATAAGTGGCAGAATGCCATATGTCATGACATTTTCAGTTTTGGTCGAATCCATAGGTATGGGAATGGTACCAACTGAACGAAGTACACGATTCAGGAATAAATCCAAGATTCCAAACTAAGTGCCACACAAACGCTTTGGGAAAAGAAATCGTCATTTAGCCAAAATTGGTCTGTGAAATACAAGATACTTTTACGAAGGCATAACATTAATCGTTAAGTCCAGACACAGCTTGGGGCAGTGGGGAAGCCTTGAGGTTAAAGTGTTTGCTCATTAAAATGTACACCCAGATTTGATTCCCAACATGTGTACCCTCTGTGAAGCCCATTTTTGGTGTCCCCCATCATGATATTGCTGGAATATTGCTAAAAGCGGTGTAAAACCATACACATTCCCCTGATGCAACACTAGATTTAAAGGTACACTCATTTTCCAATGCAGCGCTCAGATTGTTGGGTGTTTGAAGGTACATTTGACATGTGCAAAAATAGCAACTCTTCCTTACAGGGATGCAATTAGTAATTAGCAATCATTCCTAAATTAGCACATTGTGACATTAAACAAAACATCAAACACTGACAATGGTGGGAGTGGGGAAGTTAGTTTTATAGTTCAGCAACGTTCCTAAAACAGCATACACTGTACCCATTTTGGGAATAGAACCCAAGTCTTTTGCCATGATGAGTGAACACAAAACCAATAGGCCACCACAACACCATTGACAAGGTTTCCTTTTTAAAAAATCTCTGGAAATTGTTCACTCGACCAAAGATATCGATTCAATCAGAGACAGTTATGAAAATGGCTAGTTTCAAGACACAAGGTATTGTGTCAATGTTTGTAAAGTTTACTTGTCTGGTTGCTATAACCAAGCCTGATTAATTCCCAGCTGCTAGATCGTATGACATCAGACTTTACTACATCCACAACACGGAAATGATACTTTCCTACTGTGTAATCTCTCAAACAGACAGTTAGTGATGTCTTATGACTTTCAGAAAATTGGGAAGATCAAATTTCTGACTGTGCATTTAGATCACAATTTCTCAAAGTCGTTTGGAAAATGACTCTTCTGATGAGATGACATTCAACATATTTAGAGAATCAGGAAGCAATGGAAGTAAATACTGAAGTGAAGAGCTCTTCTTTCAGCATCACAAAGTGGCATTTTCCATTTGTTACAATTTTACCTGATCGTACTCAAGCTCCCTATCAAAATAGCTTTACATTGTCATTTGCAGTGCAACATACCTGCATTCAAAATATAATATCAGTGATGAAGATCAAACCAGAAATGTCTGCTGTTGGTAACCTTGTTATCCCACAACTATGACAACCTAATCTGGATCTGTACCTGATAATGGATAATGGAAGCTAAACTAAAGGTTCTGTAGCTCATCTGGAAGTTACAAAACTTACAAAGAATTGACAAATCTTCAAAGAATTAGGAAATAGTTCCTTTCACAACACTGTCGGTACTTGTCAGTATGTGGTATTTTTGGGTGTGTTTTTTTTGGCAAATACTTATAATATTTAATATACTTCATTCAATTCTTTTCAGGAATAATCCACTGATGTCACAGAGTGAGTGAGTGAGTGAGTGAGTGAGTGAGTGAGTGAGTGAGTGAGTGAGTGAGTGAGTGAGTGAGTGAGTGAGTGAGTGAGTGAGTGAGTGAGTGAGTGAGTGAGTGAGTGAGTGAGGCTATTCGTCACTTTTATTCCAGCAATATCCCGGAGGGGGACACCAGAAATGGACTTCACACATTTTACCCGTGTGTGGAATGGACCTCGTGTGTAACAATCCAATACTTTAACCACTAGGCTACCCCACCGCCCAGAGACACCAGAGCTGGACTTCACACGTGTACCCATAAGACTGACTGACTGAGTTTAGTTTTACGCCGCTTTTAGCAATATTCCAGCAATATCACGGCGGGTACCCATAAGAGAAATAAGACACAGGCTTTCAGGTTCACAAGTAATTGCTTTAAGCCATAGGCTACTTATCTGTAATGTCCAAGGGGCGGTGGGGTAACCTAGTGGTTAAAGCGTTGACTTGTCACGCCGAAGACACGGGTTCGAATCCCCACATGGGTACATTGTGTGAAGCCCATTTCTGGTGTCCCTCGCCGTGATGTTGCTGGAATATTGCTAAAAGCGG